CCACTTAATCTTTTTCTTTCTGGACCCCTATAATATTAATTGCTATGCATTTAAGTGTATCTGGAGGGTCAAATTAACTTTTTTTTTTTTTTTTTGAAAGGAGTCTTGCTTAGTGACAACCCAAGCTGGAGTTCCGTGGCATGATCTCAGCTAACTGCAGCCTCTGACTCCTGGGTTCAAGCGATTCTCCTGCCTTAGCCTCCCGAGTAACTGAGATTACAGGTGCCCACCACCACACCCAACTAATTTTTGTATTTTCAGTAGAGATGGGGTTTCGCCATGTTGGCCAGGCTGGTCTCGAACTCCTAACCTCAGGTGATCCGCCTGCCTCAGCCTCCCAAAATGCTGAGATTACACGTGTGAGCCAACGTGCCTGACCAAAATTAACTTATTATTCATCCTTTAAATGTTTTCTTTGGCAACTGAGGTAGACATGCAGCCCCCAGTGAGCCCCACCTCCTGGTATTCATGCTTTTGTATAAGTCCCCCCTCTTATGTGTGGGCTGGGCCCGGTGATCTAACAAATGAAATATAGCAAACATGATGGAGCTATTACTTGAAAGACTAGGTTACAAAAGACCATGACTTCTGTCTTGCTGGTATGCTCTGTCTTTCTTTTGCTTGCTTCAGGGTGATGAAGTTCAATACCCTGATGAAACCAGCTGCTGTGTTGTTGTGAGCTCCCCTGTGGAGAGGCCAACATGTCAAGGAACTGAAACCCTCAGTCCAACAGTCCACAAGGAACTTTATACCCTGCTAAAAACCACAAAGTGAATGTGGAAGCAGATCTTGCTCCAGTTGAACCTTGACATGAATCCAGTCCTGGCCAATACTTTGACTGTATCCCTGTGAGAGACCCTGAACTGTAAGACTTATCTAAGCAGTGCCTGGACTCCTGCTCCATGGAGATAGTGAGGTAAATGCATGGTTTTCGTTTAACTTTTTATTTTGAAATAACTGTAAATCCACAGACAGTTGTAAATAAGTATCATGGAGATACCAAAACTTTTCACCCGAGCTTCCCCAAATGGTAACATCTTGCATAGCTTATAGTACATTATCAGTCCCTGTTCTCAATTCATTTGAATATATATCTAGGCGTGGAATTACTGGGTCATATGGTAATTCTATGTTTGACTTTTTGAGGAACTGCCAAGATGTTTTGCACAGTGACTGCATTATTTTCCATCCCACCAGCAATGTATAAGGGCTCTGATTTCCTCACAATCCCACCAACACTTGTGGTTTTCTGTATGTGCATATGCAGGTGTAGTTTTTTTCTTTTTTTAAGACTTACCATCATTGTATTTATTAGGTTCTGAAACAATACACATTCACATCCTTTTGAATACAATACATTTGGCACAATAATGTTTACAATGAAATAACACTAATGAATGGCAAGAGATTAAAATTACATCCAGAAAGGAAAAAAATGTACAAATAAAGTATCACAATACAAAAAATTCCTAAAATTGAATACATTTTATAGTTAGCCAGAATTATTTTGCACATAATTTAAAAAGAGGTAATTTTTTAGCCTTTTTTTTTTTTTAAAAAAAAAAGCAAGAACGCATTGTTTTTTCACCTTTGGAGGAGAAAAATTATGTTTCTACTTCACAAAGTCCACAATGAGAGAACACAGGAGAACAGCTGTCCTTCACATATTTTTTTTCCACTCCTTTTTTTTTAAGAGAGAAAGAGAAAGGGGGTGGGCCTGGAAAGATTAGAAAAAACTGGCAGAAGTGTTAACAGTATATCTATTTTCAAACTCTTGTAAAAATGAAAATGAAACAATGATTACTGAAGGAACACACAAGGCTTTTTCTATAGACCTTCGCTAGATTGAAATCGGCCTGTGTGAAAACTTCACCAACCGGAGGCACCCCAGGTAGCCCAGCCGTGGGTGCTGAAAAGGGCCCTTTCTGGGACAGACAGACTGCCTGCCTACAGCTGCCAGGTGGAATGTATTATTTGACTTCCCAGCAAACTTGCCAGTCGCCCTATAGGAAAGGCCCAGTCCCCGCTGCCATGCAAACACCAGGCCCTTGGACAAGGCCATCTGGCATTGTGGTTAGAGCTTGCTTGGCTGTCCAAAGTTTATAATGGTAAAGAAAGCAGAAGAAAGAGCACAGTAGTTACACGTGAATATGATGGGCAGTATTGTCATGACTTCCTAAAAAAATGAGATGATGCCACCGTGAAGATGTTTCTGTGCTTCTACTCAACTCCAGAAGATAGTCTCTCCCCAGAATGTCAAGTTACCGAAGATAAATTAAATTAATCTAATGTTCTTCATCATTCACTGGTATGCCAAACACATGGATTGATATAATATTTAATATTTGCAATTATCATAAGAATAGATAATAATTACACCTGAGTTTTTAAAAAATAAAAACAAAAGAGAACTGAATGTCATCATTAGTAACAAAGGCTATGACCAGCCAGATGCAAATATGGACACAGACTCTCCATGGGCTCAAGAGAGTTACTGTCTGAGCTTTGAAACCACCATCAAACATGTTCCTTTCTCTCCCCCATCTCTATCAGGGTATAATAGAGCACGGGAGAATTGTATGTGAGATTTAATATAGCTTAATATATGTTTACATCTTTTAAAATAAACAAAATGAAATAAACAATACGAAGAATCCCCAACACACCCCCCACCCATCCCTTATAAAGGAATACACCTATCTCTCGGTAACTTGAACCAATACACTTACAGAGTATTGCACCTGGACATTATTATAATTATTCTGTCATAGACTAAAGTTTTATAATATGCCTGAACATGCAGCAGTTGATACCTCTATATTCAATGAATTAATTCCACAGGCCTTGCAGCAAACACTATATACAAAAATCTCAAATGTACAAAAGGCAAAAAGCTTCATTAGTGCCACTTTGCCACTCACAAGTATATATATTTAGGGGCAGCTGAGAAATCCACGTGCAACAGTTGGAATGGATTCCATTCCCTGCTAAATCGGTTCAGTAAATTAGGTAATCAAATGACCTCCAGGAATCATATACACAAAGCCACAGAGAACCCTTGGAAATGAAAGAATGTAACACTGTTAGCGTATCTACAGGAGGTAATGTCACATCCCTTAAATAGTGTCCACATGAGTTGCCATTGCATGTCACACGGAAACAAAACTGAGTACATCTTGCGACATTGTCAGTTTTCGAACAAGTTGCTCTTCAGTCTCCAGATACCCTTTGTATAACCCATGTTTAGCCTCATTCTGCTTATTCTGAAAGCAGATATTTCATATATAACTTTACATGTTTAATGTTTCAAACCACAACACAGTAGTACTACCATTTTGTATAAGTGCGCAAAAATAACACACTGCTGCAGAAAATAAATAGTGTTTATGCTAGGAACTTAGGATGAAACTGGAAAGAAAATTTGGGAGCTGAGCTTTGTTGGACCCCCAGGGTCCTGGCCATCGCTACGGTGGCCTCTGTGTCCAGGTAGAACTTGAATGATGAGGAATGCTACTTGCTGCCTTTTCTCTCCATTCATACACCCCCCATGTGTCACTCAGGCACTGACAGCATCCACCTTGGACGACCGGTTTCTCATTTTGTATTAGCCCTTTAATATCTACCTGTATTCAGACTGGAATTTATATCTTTTTGCCAATTAGAAAGTGGATTTGAAAATACATTTTTCAAATGTTAACAGAGTTCAAAACCCCATTTCTTTTTCCACAGAGAGGATTTCTTCCACAAGACGCAAACTTACATGACTTTGGCATGCTGAAAAGCCAACACCAAAGCAGGCAAGAGTTAGCCATTCCAGAGCAAACCAACCCAGCTGGCCGATCCTGCATCTCTGGTCTCCCTCCCTCAGAGGGCATGCCTCGAGGGCACCCTCCATCATGTGTGCGGAGAAGCACCAGTCTCTTCTCCAGGACAGAAGGACAGGGACGGCAGGCTGGAGCGCAGGAGGGAAAAGAAGCAAGAGGGGTCAGGATCTGTGTTCAATGGCAGAGCCGGAGTCTTCTTGTTTGCTTCCTTTTTTTTTATTTTTCTTTGCAGTAAAAGAACTGAAGTTGCTTCACTGCCAGGAGCCCCTGAGGAGTGGAACCAGGCTTGCCAACGGTCCAAACATGGCAGTGTATACAGCTAACTGCTGACCCAACGAGTCTGTATTACTGGTGAGACAAGAACCGAGAGAGCCTTCTTGTCACCAGGTGGGAGGGGGAGGTGGCCTGGGGCAAGGGAATGCAATAAATAGACAGTGGACATGGGGCTGGGGCTCCGGGGAGGAGAAGGAGTTCAAGACCTGCTGAGTCTCTGCAACACAGGAGTCCTCTCTGCACCCCTCCTTGCAGCATTGGCGAAGTCCAACTGCAGTGGCCTCTCAGGGCATCAGGTCTTCACCAAAGTAGGAGAAGCCTTTGAATTCCTCCTGGTTGATCTGCTTTACAATCGCTTCGTCCACAAGGGTGAGTACCGGCTCTTCCCGGGTAAAGTCTTGGTCAAAATTATTAACGTCTCTTTTGGTTTTCTGTGGGAAGAAAAGAGAAAGTGCTGAGTCGAGGCTGCCCTCCCTCCTGAGGGCCCCCCACGGGGAGTGGGCGCTGCACTGACCAGCCTGTCACCAAAGCAGGCCTCTAGCTACCAACAGACAGCAGACACAGGGCTGTTCCGATGAGGTAATGATGGATGGCCCCAGGACCGGGAGGTGACAAAGGAGGACAGGAAGAATGAGTCAAGGTGAGAAGGAAGAAGGGGTGAGAGAGTATGATGGAAAAGCAGGGAAGTGGGATTCCCACAGATGTGTGTGCGCACGTGTGTGTGTGTGTGTGTGTGTGTGTGTGTGTGTGTGTACGATGCAAACGTCCCATCTCACACCCCCTTCCAGCAACTGCTGTAACCTGGCTCCATTACGACTTCCCTCCCTGTGACCCAAGGAACAGACTTGAATCCCCTCCCAGAGGTCCTTCTTCCCCATAACCTGGCCACGTCTGCTCCACGTGACATCCTCTCTACAAGCCTGCCTCGACTTCCACTCACTCTCACCACAAACCCAATTTTGTGCTCCTGTGTTTTTTCAATTATTACACTCAGTGCATTGACTTGCCATGACGTTTTTATGCTTTCATCTAGACCAAGAGCTTCTTAAAGGCAGAGACCTTGTCTTATTCAACCTTGGGTTCCCAGCAGTTCCCCAGCAATAAGTGTCTACTGAATGAAGTAAGTAAACTCACTACTGACTCCCCAGCTCTGAAGGACCCACACCTCTGGGTTCAAGTTCCCAAGGTACAACTGTGTGGCTTATGGTTCCGGGGCCGGGGGCGGGGAGGGGTGGAAGGCAGCAATCAATCAATCTACAAAATAATCCTGGTTTCTGGAGAAAATCAGGAAGTATCAATAATGCTCTCTGCCTTTAGGGGCTTAGAGTTGAATTCGGGGGCCAGTAGTCCCGTCTATAGAACACATTGCATTCGTTAGAAAAACTTCCATGGAGAAGTCAGGGATTGGGCTAAGACTTGAAGAATGAGTTACAATTGTACTGGTCGAAATGGGAGGGAGGCATCTTGGCAGGGAGAAGGATGGAACAAAGGCAGGGAACACGAAGACAAAAGAAGCCTACGCAGGGCAACGGGTTCACCAAGCTGCAGGGGCAGAGTCTGGCGTGGGGATGTTGAGAGTTAGGGCTGGAGTCCAATGGCAAAGGCCTTCAACAGTGGGTCCCCTCTCACTCACAGCACAGAACATGACACCCAGAAGATTAAAGGCAGGGACTCCAGAAATACTTTTTTCAGACACTGATAAACTGGTATTACCCAGGATCAGTGACCTGGATGATGGAATAAATCTTGTGGAAAGATTCACATTATTATTTGTAGGAGAAATAATATTAATATACACTGTGCTCTATGGAAACCAGTAACCTAAAGAAGTTAATAAGCAGTCCATGAAAAAAGGAGGTTTTGACACAAAGCTATGTTTTCTACCCTGCTCATGGAGATTCGCTATGCACACTGGCAAGTTAAAGTCTGAGAAATTCTAGAGTGAGGAAATCTGGTTTGCTTCGTTTAGGCTAGCCTTCCTCAAGCTTGACATAAAACTTCTTTTTCCTAAATAGTTGATGAACACCTCTCCTGAGAGCAGCTTCTGGAGAACACAGTTTGGGGAATGCTAGTTTACAGTTTACAAAGAATCTTTGCATTTATTCGCTCATTCGATCCTCAGCACAGGCAGGTAACATCCTGATCTTACAGATGAGGAAACTGTGGCTCAAAGAGGTGTGGTGACTTTCCCAGGGTCACTGGACTGGGTAAGAGCAGAGCCAGAACTCATGTCTGGGCTTCAGTGTGACGCCTTCCACAGTGGGTAAGGTCTGGAAATCTGGACACGGGAGAAACTGGAAGATATAACAAGAGTCAAGTTCAACCAGGAGACATTTAGGTAACACTGCTAGGCCAGAATAAATCGAGAAAGGTCTGCCAGTAGGCAAACATGGTGGGAGACACCTGTGGGTCTGGGAAGATAGTGGGTAACATGGGCCGAGTGAGCTGCACAAGGGACTGTTTTCAAATGGCCCCAGATTGAAATCAGAATCACAAACAGCACAGAGCAGGGACAAACTGACTTTTACCATCTTTCAGCACCACCATTCCTGCTGGTTTCTTCTCTCTAGGCTTGAGCTGCATAGGTCAGTAGGTCTCAGAGACCTTGGAAGAGGGAAAGGAGGACACACAGAAAACCCAAAGGATCCCCAGAAACAGAACCTGCAGCTGAAGGGTGTCCATGCTGCCCCTGAGATGGGGAAGCTGAGTGGTTTAGTCACCTCTGCCAGCAGGGCTGGCCCCTGGCAGGAGAGCCATCTGTTCTCCCTCTCCAGTGTGTACAGAACAAGAGGAAAAGGAGGGCCCTGCTTGAGAGGGACTCAGGGGAAACAACAAAGACCATCCCCACAGTGGCGCATTGACGCGGGAGGGTGGCGCCTGGGCAAAGGGTGTGGCACCACCTCTTCTGAAGATCTCTATGGAAGGGGGAGGGATTAACTGACTGGGGAGGGTTGCAGGTTATGAACCCTCTGTGCCTGGTGATGCGACAATTGGGGAAGCATTGGGTATCATCCCAGCAGGCAAGCCAGGGGCATCCACGCTGGGGGGAGCTGGAGCTGAAGGGGACAGTGGAGTAGGTGGCAGTAGGGAGAAAAAGAGTCAAGGGACAGGGCAAGAGGAATGCTCGGTTTGTAATGTCACTAAGGACAGGCCATGCTCAGATCTATGGTAGACTGGTATAATCCAGGCAGAGGGCTCGCTGTGCAAGGCGTGAAGGCAGGAGATGCCTTCACCATCTCTCCTAACTTGGCACCCACCACACTGAGGAGGCCCCCTCTTTTCAACTAATGTATGATATAGTGACCAGGATACTCCAGGTCTCAGAATCATTCTCAGGGCAGGAACACCTCCTTCCCAGCTCCCTCCCAGATGGCTGCTAGTGAGAGGAACCTGAGTAGGAAGAACTTCAAAAAATCTGTAAGCTCTCTGGCACGGCCTCTCCCTATGGACCTGATTGTGTTTCACCTGTTGGTCATTAGGGTCTGTTAATCATGGAAACTGGTTTCATTTCTTGAGGTCAACTGAGCATAGTGGTAAAGCTAGATTCTACAGGATGTCTGAAGTTCATAATTGAGACATCTGAATTACAGGATCCTGAAATACAGGATGCTGCTGTGAACCAGGGAACCAGGTTCAGTCAATACAGCTAGTGGTGTCATTCCCCGAGGACCTTAGTTCCATGGTGGGCTAGCTTGGAGAGCCATTTAGCTCAGCTCTGAGATTCCTGAGGTCCCAGAATCATCTGTGGCATTTGAGAGAATATGCCATTCTTTATGATCTTTACAGATTTGGCTCACGCATCTCCTTATACAACTTTGCCCCTACCCTACTTTCCTTGGAGATGTTTTAGATGCATGTGAGTTACCCATTTCTAATTCAAATAACCATCCCCATTATGTGCAGTCTCTAACCGTTAACATTAGAGGCTTGGGAGATTCCCACAGCAAACATCTCTGGGAAAAGCCATCCCCTATTAATGGTATGTAGGCAGCACAGCATCCTCAAATTTGGAAAGAGCAGCAGAGCACATTCTTTGCTCACTGATTTTATTCTTAGAAAAGCTGCTACCTCCCTCAAAGAGCAGCCACAGGACTTGACTTAAAGGTTCTGAGGGGCAGGCTCTCAGAGACATTGTTTATCCTGGTCCATAGTTATCCCTGCCTAACCTAATGCCTGCATGTCAGGCTCCTGGCCCCCACTGCAGAGCCTGAGAGATGACAGTGATTCTAACTCTGCAGTCCTCTCCTAATCCATGAAGCCTTCCTTCAACCTTTGGCCCACACTTGGGGAAGGCTGCATAGAGCAGGAGGAAGATCACTGGCTGAACTCATGCTGATGACATCCTTTCCTGGTTATTGATGCTGTGAAGTTAACCCCTTTAAGCCGTGGTCTTTTCATCTGTCACATGGGGGTGGTAACAGGCACACTATAAGTTGCCTTGAGGACTGAGTGAGATGCGATGTTGGGTTCCTTCTGCAGAACCTGGCATACAGAGGGCACTCGATAAATGATAGCACCCATCATGCCTTTGCACTGTAGTACCCGTGTGCCATGGGCATGCATCATGCACAGCTTGGTTGTTAACCAACACAGTGCATGGGATCTGCCCATCAGTGAGTTTCCTAAAGGTAGGGGCTGAGTCTTACCTTCCTCTCTGTGCCTCCAAATCCTGAACCAGGGCTCAGCTGGCGCCTGTCTGCATATCCTAGTGCTTCCTCCAGCAATTGAGATGCTTCCATTGTATATCACTGCTTTTGGGTTCTAAAGTCCTGAGTTCTTTCAGTCACCTGCTTCTGAGGCCCTTCAGGAGCTTATCCTTGCCTCCGCCCCCAGCTTTATCTCCCTGGCACTGCCCAACTGTGGGGCTTCCTCCTGCCTCCAGCCTTGCATAGCTAGCCCTCTACCTGGAACGCCCTCCCCCATACCTGCCTTCTGCCCCTCATCCACTCAATTTCCCCACCTCCATGTACATGCCCTTCCTTCAGGAACCCTCTTTGTCCCGCCAAGGCTACTTGAGCAAAGCTTCTTGTGGGTGCCCTCACCATCTCTCCTAACTTAGCTCTCACCACACTGGGGAGGCCTCTTCTTTCCAACTAATCTATGAGCACCTTGTAGGCAGAGACTGGGTTGAACTCACCAGTCTATCCCCAGCCTAGCACAATGCCTGGCACATACTGCACACTCCATAGATATCTGCTGGAAAAAATAAGAAATGCACTTCTCTTGCTGCTACTTTATCTAGAGCCAGTAATGTGATCTGGATTCAGGGCCAGGGGTTGCTGTCCTGTCAGGGGGTGTTTTGATTTTGGGAAGTGGAGGCCGGGATCGGGGGAGATGGCTGCAGTCTGATTCATGAAGGGCCTGGAGCCAGGCATCCCAGACTACCACTAAGCCAATGGGGCCTGCAAAACAGGTAGGCTTACGCCCAATTAATGACATTTCTTCTCCCGGGACTTGGGGCGCTAGAGTTCTCTAATTGCTGACACAAGACAGAAACAGAAACAGGTCTGTCCAGGGTTTGGGAAAACTCCATCAAGACAGACATGTTTAGGAACTTGGTAGGGATGCCCCTGACCCTTGTAGTTGGTGTTAGGGGAAAACAACATTCCCAGTTCCTCTGGCATCGTTTCAGAAATAAGGTCTTGAATTTGAGAAATCTGGGATGGACTCTGGGGGATGGGCACATTTTTGGTGTCTGTAGCAGGGGAGCAAGGTGGAACTGAAGGAAGTAAAGTTTCAGGTCACTCCAGATCCCCCTCAGAGACTGGGCCTGCCTTAGAGCTCAGGCCGCCCCAAGGCCTGGTGGTATTGGGAGCCCAGGAAAGAGGTGGGCAGGCAGCGTCAGGGCTTACTTCCTGTCTCACCAGCACAATCTCTCACATCCCTCACTGTGCTGAAGTCACAAACTCCAGTTTTCCGAGGAGTCAGCAGCGTCTGCTTCTGTCTTCATCTGATTCCCAGGAGGTCAACAGATGACTTTGGTTTAAAGCTCTGTGGAAACTCCCTGATCTCATAGGCTGGGGAATGGGGCTGACTTTCATGTGGCTGCCTTGCTGGTCCCTGCCTTCCCCCTTATCTCTGCTTGGTGTGACAGCAACAGCACAAGCAGCATAGTAACCCCAAGCCAGAGGTCCTCTGCCTCATGGGGTGTGACCTGAAGTGAGACACGCCGTCTCTGCATTTGGTCTCCCAAATGCCAGCATCCTTCCAGGTCCCACATGAGGCTCCTTCTTATGACTTCCCTAACTCCAGTCTCATTCCACCCTGCTCTCCCCCCAGTTCCTGTGGCACTGCCTGGATCACGCATTTAGCCCTTTTGCTATTATATGTGTGTCATAGTCCCCATCGGAGCCCTCAAGGGAGGGCACACAGTAGACACTTAACGTTCACTGGCTGGAAATAATTTTTGTCACTCTAACAGCCAAACCCCAAGTCCATCCTAGCTTTGAAATGTCCATATTCTTATCTAAGCTCCACTTGTCTCTTTAAAATATTCCAAAAGCAAAAGAATTTAAATAATTAGAATGCTTCCTCAACATGAGATAGATTCTCGCATAGATGCACATATTCTTTATAGCCATGCATTTGAATGAACAGAATATATGTGTATATGTTTATACACACCTGCTGATGTGTGACGTTAAATGAAATATGGAAGGTATCACTGCATAGTGCCCTGCCTGGCAAAAATGAGGATTTAACTCTCAAGTTAAAAATTTCACTAAACATAATCATCCGTCATCCCTTTTTCCTCTTTATAATTTTGTTAACCAAGAAATGTTCATACTTTTGGATTTTCTTTCTAGTAAACAGTTCAAAACATACTATTTTTAGTAGAGACGGGGTTTTTCCATGTTGGTCAGGCTGGTCTCCAACTCCCAACCTCAGGTGATCTGCCCACTGCGGCCTCCTAAAGTCCTGGGATTACAGGCATGAGCCACCGCGCCGGCCATTTTATTTTTAACTCTATCTCCTCTTTAGAAGGTGGTAGCCAGAGGTGACTGCTTGGTCCCTGCCTCTGCAGTCTGACCAGTGCCAAGTGCAGTGGTGTTACCTTCTACTTGGCATGAACAGTTAAATTACATTAAGGTTGTGTGAGATAGTATCAATGTTTTATCATTTCCTAAGTAGCTGTGAGAAAACATTGACACTATCTTAGTTGTATCAATCCAACTTTACCCTATTATGAGTTGAATTGTGTCTCCCAGAAAAGATATGTGAAGTCTTAACCCCCAGCACCACAGAATGTGATCTTATTTGGAATAAGTTCTTTGCAGATGTAATCAAACGAGAATGAGGTCATCAGGGTGGGCCCTGATCCAATATGACTGGTGTCCTTGTAAGACGGGAAATTGGACACGGAGACAGACACGCACAGAGGGGAGACTGTGTGAAGAGACACAGGGACACGTGTGTGAAGACTGAAGCTGTGCTGCACGAGCCGATGAATGTCTGCGGCTACCAGAAGCTGAAAGAGGCACGGGAAGATTCTTCTGCAGGTTTCAGAGGGAGCAAGGCCCTGCCAACACCTTGATTTTAGATTTCTAGCCTCAAACCGTGAGATAACACCTTGTTATCTTCTTGTCATTTCTGTTGTTCTAAGCCACCCCCAGGTTTTGGTACTTCGTTACAGTAGCCCTGGGCAACTAATACAAACTCCAATCTTATTTTTCTGAAATTGATAAAAATTTTTCTTTAAAAAGTAGATAAAGTAGAGAGTTGAAATCTCACTGTATTGCCCTGGTTGGTCTTGAACTCCTGGGTTCAAGCGGTCCACCCACTTCGACCTTCCAAACTGCTGGGATCACAGGGGTGAGCCACCATACCCAGCCTGAAATTGGTTTTTAAAATCCAAACATCATCCTTTACACTTAACCTTGATTTCTTATTTTGGAGCATATTTCTAGCCTGTCAAGAGCACCATGATTCTGCAACGTACCTCTCTGAATTTCAGTGTATTTACCTAGGAAGTAGAGATAACAAACACACCTAGCTTTCTGAGGGTTATAGGTAAACTCTAAAATACAATGCAAATGCTATTCTAATTCTATCATCCATCTTATCTACTCTATCTTCCAGCTCTATGTCAACCCAAACTTTGATTGGCATGCCTCCAATCTCTCTATGGGGACACTTATACAAATATTATTTAGGACAGGATAAGGCTCAGAGCTCTTTGACCTGGCCCCTGAAACAGCCCTCTCACAAAGTCGACATCGAGTTCCACCAGCATTCTTTGGGGTGCGGTTGTTAAATTCATTGAGAAGCAACCAGCCATGGTCACTGTTTCATTTTGCTCAGTTGCTTTGCTGGAATAAAGATATAAATGCCTGGGTATTTCTCTGCTGGAAATGAAGTTAATTGCTCCAAGTGGTTACTGCTGCCCGCTGCATGTCCACAAACTATCGTCTCATTAAGAACATCTAGAAACTTGCTTTCATAGTAACCATTTCAAAGTGCCCTAAGTCCACATTTTCCCAGTTTCTGAATACTTGGAGACTGTTTGCTTTTCTCTTGTCACTTGGTATCACTACTCTATCCCATCATTTTCAATTTACCAAACAGTAGGCAGAGCAGGTTCTTCAGCAACCTGGAATGTAATTCACCTGGGCCTACACTGGAGTCACCGGGGGGAGCTTCAACCCACTGAGATGTTGGTTCCACTCTAGGGATTCTGTTTAATTGCTTTGGGATCTGGTCTGGGCATGGAATAGTAAGGCTCCCCAGGTGAGCTTTATTAAATGTAATTTGCCTGTCTTGGGTTTCAGTTTCCTCTTAGTGGTTTTCACCCTCATCTTTGTACTTTGAAGCTATTTCTCTTTGGGGAAAAGTTGGAGGCAAAATAACAGGCCTGCTTTTTGCCATTTTTTAACACAGTGGTTCTCAATCCTGGCTGTGCATTAAAAACAAACACAGCTGTTTAGACACCTGAGCATCGTCCTAGGCCTGACGCATTGGAATCTCTAGGCGGTGAGTTTTTAAAGCTCCATAAGTGGTTCTGATGGGCAGCCTGGTGGAGCCCCTCCATGCAAAGGCCGTGGATCTCTTTCTTTCTTCTTTTAACAATTTCAAAAGGCTATTTTCCCTTCTTGTCCAAAGGCCTGTTTAGGAGCCTAAGACCATTCTAGATTTGGCCTCCTCTAATACATAGCAAGTTCATGCTATACACTGGCTGTCCTTAGCGTCATGGCTTCTTTATCTATTTTATATTGGTCTTTATAAAATCGGGACATCTGAGAACTCTCGTTCAATCAGCCTGGTTTCTCTGAATGCCCATCTGTGAGAGGTAGCTTGGTGGCTTACCTTCACGCTCTGCAGCCAGACTGCCTGAATTCCATGCCTGCTTCTCCAGGTACTAACCTTCGTGGCCTTGGGCAAATTATGCAATCTCTGTGCCGCCATTTTCTCATTCATAAAATGGGGACATTAGTAGTCCTCCCCATGTATTTGTTACAAGGATTATATGAAAGAATACAATCAAGTGGCGAGAACAATAGATGGCATTGAGTAGTTATTTTGCATTGTTTCTTCCTCAGTATATCGATATATCACAACTGTATGGCCAGAACAAATAGAATTATCTTTGGGATGATCCTGGAGAGAACTTTCTATTTGGTCTTAGTTCACGGAATCATCATCGTTTCACCTGAGCCACCCGTGTGCCTTTATCTCCCACGCACATGAAATCTAGAACCAATCAGTTTTCACTGGAGGCAAAGAGCCAAGTATGTGACCCACCCAAAAGAACATTCCTGATTCTTTTTTGCCTTCCTATGCTGTTTTTTCTCTCCTCCTTTTCACTGACAGTACATTCATAATAAATACTTTATATATACTGGTGGGCCATCTTTAAGCTTTCTGGAATAAGATAAAAGGAAGGAAGAAAGACGATGGATTTTGCTTTTAGCACTGCTGGCTAAAATTGCAAGCTGTAACATCCTATCTCAGCTGGGTGTGGTGGTTCATGCCTGGAATATCAGCACTCCTGGAGGACGAGGCAGGTGGAGAGCTTGAGCCCAGGAGTTTGAGACCAGCCTGGGCCACATAGGGAGACCCCATTTCTACAAAAAGTGTTTTAAAAAATTAGCCAGATATGGTGGCATGTGCCTGTAGTCCCAGCTACTTGGGAGGCTGAGGTGTGAGATTGGCTTGAATCCAGGAGGTGGAGGCTGCAAGTGAGCCAAGATCATATCGCTGCACTGCAGTCTGGGTGACAATGCCAGATCTTGTCTCAAAAAAAAAGAAAAAGCATCGTCTTTCCTTGTCTCTATAACGCATGGGACATGTGTGTGCCTTTGTATGGGTGTCTGTGTGTGTTGTGTGTGTGCACAAAGTCCCATGGCATGGGGAAGCTGGGTCACACTGGGAACTGAGGAGCCCAGCAAGCTGAGGGCTGCATGGCTCGCCAGCCAATGCCGCCTGTTGGGGACACAGACCCAGAAGTCCCAAGTCTTTGGAGTTGCCACAAAATGCCCCAATCTACATTTTCACTTAAATCTCTTACTTTTTAAATATCGCCTACTAATTCGATTAAAAAAAGTTATCTCCTGGCTGAATGGGTCTCACAATCGTCCAGTTTGTGACCCTTACATTATTTAAAAGGTTGTTGCTTCTACCTTTTAAGGGAGAAGAAAATGAAGACCCACTTGCTTTTTAAGCACAGTGGCACAAATGGCAGTTAAAAAGGGAAGCCACTTGGTCCACCATTTCCAAGCCCGATGGAGAGGGTCCTGGCAGCTAGGTGAACCCTGTAGCCAGAGGCAGGAGCCGCCCAAGCCTCAGGCCGGGCCTCGCAGTCCTCTTCCCCACAATCTGGCTGGTTTTCTCGCTAAACCACTTCTGGGGGAAAACTGCTTCACTTCTTTGGAGGCAGTCAGTACACCGCTAGGCGTGCTGAACAATCAACCACAGCTGAACTTTATCAGGTCCGCTGCTTGATGGAATTCAACTATTTCCCCTCTTCCTCCAGTCTCATAGTTTGCTAAACTATAAAATATATATACATATTTTTACAAATTCCATTCGAGGAGTTACTTTGGGAAAAAATAAAACTCTACTTCAGGTGTTAGCTAACAGCAAACCTCCTCCCCTACACCCAGCGAACAGATCAGAAGAGTTTGCCTGGGAATTAGCTGGGGTCTGCCAACACAGCCTTCAGGGATTGCCATCACAGAGGCAGGCAGGTGTCCCTGTTATAAAGACGTTGCCACCAAACTTCTAACATGTATTATGAGATTTTGAAACAAAACAGGCAACTACCCGAAGGTTCCTTTGGAAGGCAGTGCCAATTCAGAAACCTACAGAAGAAAGGGAGGGTCCAGGACACAGCCCCTTCGTGGCTCTTGCTTCTGCAAAACTGGGGAACATGTTCCTTATCGGCTGTTGGTAAAGTGAGAAACGTATCAAGAAAACTTTCAATGCTGCTTCTTATGTCTAAATCACACATTTCAATCATTTGAAGCAAAAGTAAAGAATATAAAGTAAGCTTCTTAAACAGAGTTTCCACCCCTGGAGCAAGGGTTGCCAATTTTTTTTTCTGTCAAAGGCCAGGCAGTACATATTTTAGATGCTGTGAGCCGTATGGTTCCTGTCGTAACCATTCCACTCTGCCATTGTAGGCCAAAAACAGCGTGAACCTATGTAAATGAATGATCATGGCTGTGTTCCAATAAAACTTTACGGCCACTGATGTTTGAATTTCATACAATGTTCATGTGTCATGAAATAGTATTCTTCAACCATTTTAAAAAATGTTGAAACCATTCTTATTCTAGGGCTGCACAAAAGCAGGTGGTGAGCTGCATGTGGCCCAATGGCTGCAATTTGCAGACTGTTGCCTCAAGGTATGCTTTCAGGGTTTCCATGAGCCTGGTAAAACATAGAACAGTGTACTGTGTTTATGGACACACTGGGGTTTTCCTGGAGAGAGAGTTTACTGTATCAGATTCTCCAAGGGGGCAGTGATACCACTGCTAAGTTAAGAACCAGTGATTTAAACATTTCTTTTATAAAAAGCCTGACTTTCTAAGTGGTACAATAACTGTCTCTGAGGAATCCACATAGAGGAGAAAGCCCTGTGAAGTATTTTCGGGACCTGAAATGTCCCATTTTGCTTAAGTATTTCAGACCACAGAGGTCCCCAGCACAGGGCATCCCCTCTGGCCTCAGTAACTCTTTGGTGCTCTGTGGGGAAGGTTGTCTCATGTAAAAATGGCTGAGAACACACCCCTGGATGCAGACTGTGTACCTAAGCCTCTTTCCAGATGCGTCTTCTAAGTGCAGGTGAAGCCAATAGCCTCAAAGCATTAGCTTCAAACACATCATGTCTCCATTCTTCTTAGTGAAGGAGGCACTTATTCCTGCTCCTCAAACCCTCCTAGCCCCCCCCCCCCAGCCCACACCTATGCTCTCCTTTGGCTGTGACACATTGATCTGAAATTTGGTAAGAAAAATATAAAGCATGAATTCTAGCCACATGGGGTCACCTGATTATGAATGAGTCCACCTCATCCATTCAGTGCACACCAGCCCCAGATGACATCTAGTCTGGGATTTAGAAGCGGTCTGGAGATGTCACTAGGTGCCTCAGGAGTCCTGGCTCCCCCAAGAGGCTGGCAGTGCCTGGGGGCAAGGAGAGCCTAGGGCTTCTGTCACTAGCAGTGCACAGCTCAGGCTTTGCAGGCCTCCCAGCTAATGGAATGGACACGGCGGAGTCTCTAGAGGACTCCCAACTCTCCGCCGTTGAGTCCACCCGCCCTCCAAGAGCAGAAATTAGAATAGAGGAGGATTTGTTTCCCTCTCAAATGTTGCACATAAGCTCTGAAGCCATTCCTGAGGCTACTCAAGGGACATGTCTGGTGCTGCTGTGTGGAAAAGAAAATCCCTCTTCCTGGAGGCGTGATCCCCAAGTGAGGCCAGTCCCCTCCTATGCCTGACCCTTGTGCCAGGCTTCTCTTTCCTGGCACTCCTCATAACTGGGGGCTAAATGATGACTCAGTCCAAAGTGTCTTTTCTGCTAGGCTGGAGCTCCACATGGGCATCTGCCTTGTATTTCTAGCACCAGCTCAGTGCCTGGGACAGCCTTAGCTTCTTTAGGAGGAAAAAAGTAACAAAGCTTGCAGATGGAGGCTTTGCCAGTGCTTTGGTGCTTTCCATAACCGGCTCTTGTGACCTCACACCCACTCCACAGGGAGGAGAGTGCTGTGATCACATCTCCATTGTAAAGATGGGGAAACAGGCTTGGAGGCATTAGACATCTTGTCTAAGGTACAGGCTGGTCAAGAGGTGGGGTCGGGACTTGGATACAGCTTGCTCTGACCCCGAGGCT